TGACTACAGGAAGCCCCTGCCCCGGGCTTCCTGGAATCAGCCGCTGATCAGTTTCAGCAGCAGCTGACTTGGGGATGCCTGGGGTTCTTAAGTTGAATCTGTATGTAAGTCAGAACTGGCATCCAGATTCAGCCACTGTTGAAACTGATCAGTTTCAGCAGTGGCTCAATCTGGACGCCAGTTCCGACTTACATACAGATTCAACTTAAGAACAAACCTACAGTCCCTGTCTTGTACGTAACCCGGGGACTGCCTGTAATGGAGGGATGAACTGTGAGTATGAGATGAGGCAATCCTGGGGGGTGGGTCCTGCTTGTGAGGGGAGGTGTTTCTGGAATGCTCTGCATAAACCTTGCCCTATGTCTGTGATGAAAGGAAAGAGGTGCATATAGTCCCCTGCAGGCTGAGCTTAGTACCTTTAAAATAACAATTATTCAAGCACATAATATATTGCATAACAATAGCAGTGAAGCTTCACCAGCATAGGCTCTACAGCCCTGTCTGAGACCTTGGATCTGTACCTGACTTGATAGCTTATGCTCCTACTCCCTGCTACCACGGCTCTGCTGCCATTGATATTTGAGCTTACTAAATCAAAACTGGCTTGGGTATGTCAACTCATGCCACAGGTACACTTCAGGTTTCAGTGTAGACATACCCAGGTAGGGCAGGGCTTCTCCAGTTACTAGCTCTCTGGGGGCAAGAACCTAGGAGAGAGAGACACTAACTTCCCCAGGGTAAAGACCCCCTGAATACCAATTCACACAGGATGCAGAGAGAGAAATTAGAGCTTTACAGATTGCAGATATAAGCCCCTCCCCAGTTTTCTCCTAACGCGGGGAGGTGGAACATCCTCCAGCTCCAGGCTAATATGAAATGAGAGGGATATGGTCTCAGACTGCCTCCAAAGGGGCAGCCCTCAAGCCCTTTGCTTGCTCGCTTGTGGGACTGGAAGTAAGGCTGGATTCCTCAAAGGGACACTGATGAATCAGTGCTGTAACTAAGGTGTAATACCCCCTGAGGTGGAAAAGTAGGCACTTGTGAGTGATTGCTCGGCCTAACTTCACAGACCACATGTAGCTTAATATCTTTCAGAAAATGGAGCCTATGCTAACTAAATTAGCTGTACAAATTAGCACTGCCAAATTTCCCATAGAGAAAAATAATTGTTGATATTGGCAGATAGTACTAATATGCCTGTGGTTCATAGAGAAAAATAATTGTTGATATTGGCAGATTGAACCACAGGCATATTAGTACTTTCTCAGATTTCTGCTAACAGTAGGATTCAGAAATAAACTTAAACAACAAATAGTTAAAGACTAACAAAACATGTAGATGGTATCATGAGCTTTCGTAGGCTCTGCCCACTTCTTCAGATGAACAGAGTGTTGGAGATCCAGAACTAAAATAAATTGGGAAGGGAGGGGGAGAAGAAGGGGAAAAAAGGGGAAAGGGGGGAAACAAGAAGAGGTAGTGGGTATAAAAATATCAAGGGGAAAGCTGAGCTAGAATGTAACAGGAAAAATAGTCATAAGCACCTAAAGACTGGATAGTCAAAAGAGGCAGATAAGAACCATTAGTAGGCAATAGAAAAGAAGAGTACTAACAACAGATACTATACCAGTGCTCTCCAACCTTTGCAAGCACTTAAGGGCGATCCAGGACGTATCTCAAACCAAATACCCTTGCCCTGCCTCCTTTATGCCCCTTCCCTGAGGCCCCACCCCTGCTCACTCTGTCCTGCCTTCCTCCATCGTTCCTCCTTTTCTCCAGGCAGGGGCAGAGGGTTAGGGCACGGGCTCTTGTCGTGGGCTAAGGGATTTGGAACAGGAGAGGGGCTCTAAGTGAAGCCTGGGGTAGGCGGGACTTGGGGTGCAGGAGGGGATTCATGACTTGGGGGGGGGTTCAGAGCTGGCTCCAGCTGGACACTGCTCACCTCAGGTGGCTCCTGGGCGATGGGGCAGTGGGGCTAAGGCAGGCTCATCCCTGCCCTGGCCCTGCACCACTACCAAAAGCAACCAGCAAACTCTGTCCCCCCCCATCCCAAGCGCTGCTGTGCCCCCCCCCTCCATTCTGACATCAGTGCTCCCTCTTCTCCCTTCCCTGTTCTGCACAGCAAGCTCCTGGGAGGGCAACTCCAAGGCAAAGGGCAGGAGGTGTGCAGCAATGGGAGGAGGGGCAGCTGAAGTGCCAGCACTTGATAGCCTCTTGGCCAAGCCAGTTAGGATCATGTCAGGGGCGCCAAGATCTACCAGTAGATCCCAAGCTACTGGTTGGTGACCACTGAACTATACAGACAAAACATCATTGGCACCTTCATTGTTTGGTAGATTGGTATTGTTTTAGTACTCTACAGGCATCTGAGCAGTGGCCATTCTGGACTCTTGGCGCCTATCAAAGGTCCCTTTCAGTTCTAGGGGATAGGCAATCTCCATTAATTTATAATTTAATTTAAGATAATGTCCCAGCCATCTGGTATCTTTTTTAATCCATTAGCATGAGTATCAAACTTGGGAATGAGTTGTAGTTCCAGTCCTTCCCTGTGTAATTTGGCTTATGGAATTGGTCTGTAACAAAACAGCGACTTGAAGATCTGTTAATGAGTGCCCAGGTAGATTGAATTGTTCCCCAACAGGTTTTTGTATGTTCTTTTATGGAAATCTGATTTATGTCCATTAATTCTTTCCTGTTGTGACTGTCCAGTTTGTCCAATATATATTGCAGTGGGGCATTGCTGGCATTTGATGGCATAGATTACATTCCTGGATGAGCAATTGAATGAACCTCTGATTTAGTGGCTTATGTGGTTGGCTCTAGTAATGAATTCACTTGTTTAGATATGTGGCAGAGTTGGCACCGTGACTGATTGCAGGGCTGGGTTCCTGGATGTTTATGATGTAGTAGTGTAGCATGGTTACCAGAAAGAATTTGTTCCAGGTTGGGGGATTATCTGTAAGAAAGAATAGGCCTTTCCCCCAAGGCCTCTGAGAGTGAGGGATCATTTTCCAAGATAGGTTGTAGATTGAAAGAGGAGATTTTTGAGTTGTGGACCATAGGTAATGGCAAGTGGGATTCTGTTATTTTCTCTTTTGGGTCTGTCTTGAAGTAGTTCATGTCTGGTTACTTTTTTGGCTCTGTCAATCTGTTTTTTCACTTCTCCAGATGGGTATTTCAGTTTTAGGAATGCTCTATAAAGATCCTGTAGGTGTTTGTCTCTGTCTGTGGGATTGGAGCAAATTTCTTAGTTCTTCAGGTAGTTTGGATATTTTATTTTAATAAAATAAGCAGCCAAAACATAAACATGTGAATTATTCTTCACATGCCATGTGCAATTGCTACTGGAATACTGTATCCAGTGGTCAAGAAGGATGTTGACAAATTGGATAGCACTGAGAGAAGAGCCATGAAAACTGTGGGATTGGAGCAAATCTGGTTGTATCTTAGGGCTTGGCTGTGTACAATAGATAGAGAAATGTGTCTGGAATGGAAGCTGGAGGCATGAAGGTAAGTGTAGCAGTTGGAGGGTTTCCAGTATAAGGTGGGGGAAATTTTTTCATTATTTAATTGTACTGTAGTGTCCAGGAAGTGGATTTCCTGTGCAGATTAGTCCAGGCTGAGGTTGATAGTAGGGTGGAAGTTGTTGAAATCCTTGAGAAATTCTTCAAGTCTCTCTTCCGTGTCACCTATGTAATGTAAGTAAAGTATGGGTGTTGGGGGCAGGAGCTGAGGAAATGTTGTTCAAGGTCAGCCATAAAGATGTTGGCATATTGTGGTGTCATGCAGGTGCCCATGGCTGTGCCACTGACTTGAAGATACAAATTGTCTCTGAAACAGAAGTAGTTGTGGGTGAGGACAAAGTCACAGAGTTCTGTAACTAGGTGTGCTGTGTTTTCGGGGATGGTGTTCCTGATGGCCTGTAAGCCATCTTCATGTTTACATTTCATGTGTGTAGCTCAGGTTCCATTGACAACATGTCTTAGAGCCACACATGCAATGTGAAAATGAAGGGCTAGAAACCCTCTTGGCTAATAATCTTGCTGCACATATGCATTTCAGTTGCTTTGGTGAGTGAGTGTTTGGCATGTATTATTCTAGAAAGCCAAACTATTCAATATTTCAACATTATTTCCCAAAGGGGCAGCAGGTAATATGCACTAGCTGATAAATGTTGCAAAACTGATATCTGTTGGGGGAGGAGCAGAGCCATGATTTGAAGCGCGCGCGTGTGTGTATTTAGAGGGGGAGGGGAAAGGAAATTGATAGACGGTCGATGTTGTGAAATGTTGTTCTTTTCAAAGGTCTGTATTTCAGGAATAATTTGCTC